GAATTGGTGGGTTTTTGTTAAATGTGAGCCAAAATCATCACAATTAAAAGAACCAAAGACTTAAACTACTTCAGTCTGTGTGCATTGAATTTATTTAATACACGAGTTTCACAATTTGAGTTGAATTACTGAAATAAATGAACTTTTCCACGACTTTCTAATTTACTGAGATGCACCTGTAAATAGTCTTGGTGAGCATAAGTGCCTTCGATCAAAAACATCTGACCCCAAGCTTCTGAACAGTAGTGCGTGTATATATCCCACAATGCATTTGACTTGATCTTCCCATTTCTAGTGTGACCAATGGACCAGAAATGAACCCTATCAACAAGAGCAGACTGTCAAATGCCAAAATGTTTATCCTAGAATAAATCATACTGTCACATTTCCTTTTTGTAAAGAATCGTTTGGAATGTAATACTTGGTAAAATAACAATAATAAAAGGATTAAATTGCATATATAAGACTAACAGTAAAATAACAACAACAAAAGGAACAAATTGGATATATAATGCTAACAGTCCGTTAATTCCATCCAAACACTTCAGTTTTATGCACTTGCATTCCGTTTTGTAACTAGTGGATTTGACAGGAAGTAAATGGCGAGAGTTTGCTTTTTTGCTTTGTTGGTCTGGAGTGAGGTCCAAGTTGAGAACAGAGTGCTCGATTAATTACATAACCCAGGGATTACATAACACAAGGCCCTGCTGACATTAAACAGCGGATGGCAAAAACAGACAAAACGAGAACTTTCCACAGCCTTTTAGTGAGAGAGTCTGATAGTGTTTTAGGAGAAAAGGACACTGCGTCAGGGAACATTCCCACGTAGAGAGTTCAGACTCTCCATCTGATGGAAAATAAAGGGATGGAAGAGTATAAAAGGGAAAAAAGAGGGGAAAAAATAGACTGGACTGACTTAAAATACTCACATTTGCTATGTCTATCACAGAGTGCGGCGGCCCTCGTGTCACACAGGCGGATGGTTCCTTTACTACTGCTGTATACAAAGACGTTACACTGGTGTGGGTGACACTCGGCCGCTGTTATCACCTCCGTCAGCTCCTCCATATTGGCTGGTTTTATATCTACAATGTCTGAGGAGGGAAATGGTAAAGGAAAGCAACAGAAATAACTTCAAACACACTTTTAAAGTCATTGAGATGTGTCAGAGATGCAGGCCTTGGTCATTCCTTGGGGATTCGGTTTCTGAAGAAATGGTTAAAAAAGACGATTGGAGCTGATGGTGTCTCTTTAAATATATTCAGATTGGCCAATGTCTTAATCCACACATACTAAAAATGTGTATGTTTTACAGTAAAATACAATTGTTCAAGGGGACATATTGTATTGTGAACCTATTGCAGTCTAAAAGATGAATATATTAGACCATATAGACGCAACTAAATTACTTAATTTCACACGCATAGAAAATGTTTACATAGAAGTCTTAAAAGGTACATAAAAAAAAAGCATAAATAAAAACAGGCATGTGGAATATGGGTTATGAAAATTAGTCATTCATTCAGATCAGGCACATTTCAATAAAATAGAGGGAAAAAAAATGTGAACGTCACTGATTGCGTAAAGGATACTAAAACTTCTATCTGTGATTTCTAAATGCCAGAGGTTTATTCTGAGGTCATCTGCAGAAAGGTATGTTTCATAATCACTATTTACTGAAATGGAATTGATGTGATATGTATGTGCATTAGCAAATATTCTGCGTGGGCTTGCTTCCACCATCAAGTCCATCGGCATCAACACAGGAACCTGCGAAACAACCAAAGAGTTACTTAATGAAATAATAAGCCAAGAAAAAGTACATTTCAATTAAAAGAAATGATCCGAAATATTTTCTTTAACTCCCCTCTCAAATTTTAAGTTAATATTTATATAATTTAACAAATTTGCATGTTCTCTGATGTTGGTTAATGGGAATGGACAAATATAATATTAAATCTTTAGCAAGCATATTCTTTTGATTGTTTTTATTTTTGATTTGACATTTTTATGATTTAATTAGTAGCGATTCATCAACTCAGAAATCCCAGTTTGGAAGAAAACCTTAAAGCGTTAGTTCACTCAAAAATGAAAATTCTGTCAATAATTACTCACCCACATGTCGTTCCAAACCCGTAAGACCTCCATTCATCTTCGGAACACAAATTAAGATATTTTTGATGCATTCTGAGAGCTCTCTGACCCTCCCATAGACAGCAAGGGTCCTTACACGATCAACGTCCAGAAACGTAGCAAGGAGATCGGTAAAATAATCCATGTGACATCAGGGGTTCAACCGTAATTTTACGAAGCTACGAGAATACTTTTTGTGCGAAAAAAACAAACAAAAAAACCTTTATTCAACAATTCGTCTCCTCCGTGTCACTCTAGCTTCATTTTGGAGAGTATCCACTGAACGCAAACAGCGCATGCTGTTCTGTGTCAGCTGCGCCAAGCGGATACGTTTTCTACGTTGTTTGTGCTTTGATTTGAACGAAAACAACATATCCGTGTGGTGCGGCTGACACAGAACAACATACGTTGTTTGCGTTCAGTGGATACTCTCCAAAATGGAGCTAGGGTGACACGGAGGAGACGAATAGTTGAATAAAGTCATTCGTTTTTTTTCTTTTGCGCACAAAGTATTCTTGTAGCTTCGTAAAATTACGGTTGAACCCCTGATGTCACATGGATTAAAGGGATAGTTCACCCAAAAATGAAAATTCTGTCATTAATTACTTACCCTCATGTCGTTCCAAACCCGTAAGACAAGGCTGTCCAAACTCGGTCCTGGAGGGCCGGTGTCCTGCAGAGTTTAGCTCCAACTTGCCTCAACACACCTGACTGGAAGTTTCTATGCCTAGTAAGAGCTTGATTAGCTGGTTTAGGTGTGTTTGATTAGGGTTGAAGCTAAACTCTGCAGGACACCGGCCCTCCAGGACCGAGTTTGGACAGCCTTGTCTTACGGGTTTGGAACGACATGAGGGTAAGTAATTAATGACAGAATTTTCATTTTTGGGTGAACTATCCCTTTAAGTCAAATAACTCAACAGCTCAAGTAAAACTCAAACATTAATTGTAAAACTCTTAATTTTAACTTTAATTGTAAAACTAAAACTCAAAGCATTAGTAAAAGGAACCATGACACTAACACTGAACACTGCTATGAGGTAACATTAGCCTATATTATATATTAGGGGTGTAACGGTTCACAAAATTCACGGTTCGGTTCGATACGACACAGTGGTGTCACGGTTCGGTATGTTTTCGATACAGCAAAAAGAAAGAAACGGCAGAGAAATTTCCTTGATTTTTACACTTTTATAATTTATTAAAACTAACATCATAAAGTATGATCTTTTTTTTTTTTTTTACTTTGAACAATGATGGAGCTATACTTGACCCATCTTCTGAGGTGTCTTCTTAGCAGCATATAAAACAAAAACCTCCTTATAACCAAAACCAAATAGCTCCTTATAACAAAAATGAAATGTAATATTGTAGTAGTGATAAACAAATACAAAGAAAATAACAATTTTGTTTTATATGGAACTCAGTGTGTTTTTACTCAATTTGTAAGTTTTTTTTTTTTCAGAAAGATGAGTGTCCACATTTTCTTCAGACAGCACAGATCTGCTTGATGTGACAATGTCACCTGCAGTGGAAAACACCCTCTCGCTAGGGACAGATGTTCCAGGCACAGCCAGGTAATGCCGTGCCAACATGGCAAAATGAGGGTATAAGTGCTCGTGGGCTTTCCAGCATTTCAGTGGATCTGCATCCAAGGGAATACAGTCCACTACCCTGAACAACTGCATCTCCCCCTCTGCCATTTTGGCCACAGACTTGGTGCTTGGCTCATAGTCATGGGTCATGAACAGTCCTCCAAACAGCTCAGTCATGGCCGACTTCTTTTCTTGTGGAGGTGATGTTGAGGGCTCCAAGTCCACTGTCTGAGTCTCTATGGAGCTGGCTCTGGCTCTGTGGTGCCTGTGGCTTGGCCCTGGAGAAATATAAACAACAATAATCTTACACTAGTAATAAAATGACCAGGTTTTGGAAATCAAGTGTTAACTCGTTTCTACTAAGACTGGGACTGATTGAAGAGTCGTGAGTCAGATGCTCATAACCCATAGAATGGGACTCACTACAAAAGGTTAGTATTAACCACACATAGGAATGTTATACACAGGGAAATGGAATACAACAATACAGAACAGATTATTAAGAACACAACATCAAGATGTACTCACAGTGTCAAAAATATTGAGACAAAAACATAAGTATGCAAATAATTAATCAAAAATATAGTAAGCAGCAAAATATAAATAGTACCTGTTGTTCGGTGCTCACAATCTCTGTGGTGAGAAGATCATAGACTCTCAGGCCAGTGGTAGAATCCAAGTGTAGCAGTGACTTGAAACGTGGATCCAAAGCGGTGCTCTTGTGTAGGTAATCTTGAAGACCAGGTTCTGTGTATCTCTGCTGCACGTCATTTCTGAGATCCCTCACTGCTGGGCTGTCATCATCATACAGTACCATGGATTTCAGGATCATCATTTTCATAGGCAGGACCATGGACGCGGATGGAGAGGACTCAGTTTTCAGGGGTTTCAAAACTGTGATGACACGTCATTTTCAGACAAAGTCACAATGTCTTTAACATTTTTCTTCACAGCTTTGTCTGTCATTGCAGAATACACTGCTGTCTGCTGCTCAAGATATCTTTCAATCATATCGTAGCTTGAATTCCATCTAGTTGGTATATCTTGGATGAGTTTGTGAATAGGAAGCTGCAGCAACTCCTGTTTTGTCTTCAACACATGGGCCGCTGTTGTGCTTCAGTGAAAGGAGGTCACAATCTTTCTGATCTTTGCTAGGAGGCGAGAGATCTGCTGCACTGCCATTGCTTTCTGAGATGCTAGATTAATGACATGGGCAAAGCACCCTATTTGTGGCCCAAGTCCAGCAGCTCCAACAGCATTAACTATATTCCTGGCATTGTCAGTAGTCACAGGAATAGGTACATTAGCTCGTTCCAGCTTCCACATTTCCACTGCTTCTGTCATCCCTTTGGCCAAATCTTCACTCGTGTGACTCTCAAGGGGGCGTGTCTGAAGAACATGGCTTTTCATCTCCCATTCAGCAGTAAGGTAACGTGCCGTTACAGTCAGGGAGCTTTGTGTAGCCCTTGACGTCCAGCTGTCTGTTGTCAGAGCAACTGCTGGTGCTTCGGCCAACTGGTTCTCTATTTGGGCTTTTGTTTTTTTGTACAAAGCAGGAATTACGGTCTAGCTGAAATGGGCTCGTGAAGGAATAGTGCAACGGGGCTCAATTACATTAAGCATGTTCTTAAAACCCACATTTTCCACTATAGAGTAAGGTCTCATATCCGCGGCTATAAATGTTCCAATCGCCTCAGTGATTTGTTTTGCCCTGTTTGATTCTGATGGAAATGCCTGCCTGAATGCTGCGGGGATAGTTTGTAGCGTGTGTTTCTAGTTTTCATCTAGTTCCAGTTATTGACACACTGGGTTGATGTCGGCGTAAATGAGTTGACATGTTTGAAGTATTGCTGCTGATGTAGCTTATTGTTGTGTAGCAGATGCGACATACCGTTGTTTTTATCCACCACTCTCTTGCCATCACCCTCCATAACTTACAGGGAAACCAAAGTGGTCCCAAACGCCAGACCTGTTGGTTATTGGAGGATCCTCTATTTCTGGTCTGGTAATTGCATTAACGTTACTAGCCATATTGCAACGAGCTAGTCCAGCGTATGCCTGACTGGAGTAGTGTGTTTTTCTTTGGAGGTGGGAGGGCAGATATCACGTTGCCTGTCACGTCGTTTGGACTGCCTTGTTGAGCATTATATTTTACACACTTTAATCTCTTTTATTTTCCAAATATAATAGTATGTGTCCAAATTGTTTGGTTTGTATGTAATGTGTACCGAACGGTTCAATACGAATACGTGCGACGTTACACCCCTTATATATATATATATATAAATAAGTGCTGTCAAACGATTAATCGCATCCAATATAAAAGTTTTTATTTACATAATATATGCGTGTGCACTGTGTATATTTATTATGTATATATAAAGACACACACATACAGCATATATATTTAGAAAATATTTACATGTATATATTTATATTAACAAATTATATCATATATAAATATATTTAATATATAAACGTAAGATTTTTCTTAAATATACATGCATGTGTGTGTATTTATATATACATAAATATACACAGTACACACACACACACATTATGTAAACAAAGACTTTTATTTTGGATGCGATTAATCGCGATTAATCGATTGACAGCACTAAATATGCAATATAATATAACAACCAATATAAAACCTATATAAGGTTGCAATGAAATCATGGTACACTGCTGTATAGTTTTTCCAAAAACGTCCTTGTCTGGAACACGTCCCTTTCTGTACATGTTTCTTCATCACTCTCAGGTGTAAATAGCATTAAGCAGTCCTGCCCCACTGACAGCTGGGTGTATACTGTGCATTTACATCACATGGCATGCACTCTACAGACTACAAGTTCTGGAAACATCTGACTTTAAATCTTATTAAATATTTATTAACTAAAAACCTGTGCACAGCTAACCTTCACTGGCTGCACTCTCAACTCAAAATGTCATCAGAAGAGAAGCGGCAGACTAACCCGTAGTGTTGTGATTCGAAACTGATCTCGCAGTCTTCCGTCTTCATCTTTAAGGTTGTATCCTTCTGCTCGTTTGTCCCTTTCGCTGATCTTCCATAGTTTGATGGTTTTATCTTTTTGAGGAAACAAAACAAAAAGAAAAAACAAGTCAGTAACAGAGAAATTGCATGTCCAAAGCTCGTCATTGTCTGTCTAGGTAGGCAGCTCAAATAATTTTGAAACAGCTATAGATGCACCACCATTCATAAATTTGGAGTTGGTAAGATATTTTTTTTTGTTCTTGAAAGCCTCTAATGTTCACCAAGGTTGCATTCGATTGATGTACAAATGCAGTAAAAACAGAAATATTGTAAAAATATTACAATTTTAAATTTTTGTGGAAACTTTTTTCAGGTTTTTTTTGATGAATGGACAGTTTAAGAAAATGTTTTTTGAAATATAAATCTGTTATAACAATATACACGTCCCTATTATCCCTTTTGATCAATTTAAAAAGAAAAAAAGAAAAGAAAAAAAAAAAAAAACAATAAAACATTTGAATGGTGGTGTACAAAAAACAGAAGCAAAAATCACAATTTTATCTTCATACCGTTTGCAGAAAGGAGAAAGTGTGCAGCATTCTGTTGCGGGAGCCATCTGATTTTATTGATCTTCTCCTCGATTTCTAAACTTTTCAAGTAATCAAACTCAGGCTCGTGACTCTGAAAGGTGCTGTACACGTTGTATTCCCCTCTTGAGAGTAGGCGGTTTTTACTCTATGGAGAGAAACATTGAACACTTAAGTAAACACTTTGAATCACACTTCCTAAAAAATTGAATGCAATAAAGATCTTTGGGTTGCATCACCTCCTGTTCTCGCTGAAATATGACGACTCTCCCCCCTTTGTCTCCTGTGGCTAATAACTCCCCCGAACAGTTAAATTCAACAGTTGAGATAATGTCCGCTGCATATCCGAAAGGAAGAAAGAAAGATAAGACAATTATTTACTTCATACATTAAACATGCACAGCTTTAACAAAGTAGAAAGCTTTGACACCAACATTAACTTTCTAAATGCATGTTTTTGATCTTATAAATTGTGCAAGACTAATAATTGCATATCATGTCGAAGGCAATTAATGTTTGTCTTTCATTAAATATTCATTATTCATGACTCATCTTCATGCATGCTTAAGTTTAGATGTTTTAAGCTCAAACTGGAGTTAAAACAAATCTATTTCATACATTCAACATGCACGGCTTCAAAAAAGTAGAAAGCTCTGACGCCAAAATTGACCCTAAATGCATGTTCCTGATCTTATTATGCAACACCGATCACAATGCATGTTGTGCCAACATATGCAATATTCAAGTCTCATTTTCATACACATTTAAGTGTAGATGTTTTATTCTGAAGCTCAAACTGAAGTAAAACAGATTTATGCTCAGTGTGGATCATTTCCTCTCTCCACCCCTGCTGCTTCACCCTTCTGATCTCTCTCGCTCAGAGGGAAGGACACAGGGACAAACAGAGGCATGATTCAGTGTTCCTGAAACAGAACAATTAGCTCAATGCAGACACAGGCCTGGGCTTCATTTAGCCGATCGATCACACGCCAAAAACACAGTACAACGGATAATCAAACACCTCTTGTACATTTATAGAACTGAAACAAAGCTAATGGCTATTTGGTTTCTTCGCTGTGGATTTGTTGAGGAAACTCTGCATCAGGTGAAAAATGCTGATGAGCGACTAACTAAAATCTGAGTAAACCTAATGAAATGATTCGGTAGGGCCTTCTGTCTCGGTTCAGAGCTAGTTTTGGCTACAGGTTTGGTTTAAAAAACAAGCAGGAATCAAAAAAAAAAAATGAGATTATGTTTTGACGAATGGCAAACAGACTCTGTTTTCAGTTTATACAGAAACAGCAGAGTTCACAGAAACTTCACTGTTGAGTACCATCAAAGCCAATGTGAGAATATCATTTACTCACCCCTGTAATTTTGTGTGTGTTTTTTTTTTTATTAATTCAAGAGTGTTTGGGATGCTTGGCCCGGGATCTGCGACTTGAGAGCTGAATGCAGACATAACCGACTAACCTAACACAAAATAAATGTGCCACATCAAGCCTGGAGAACACACTTTAAAGGGGTGGTTCACAGTTTTTTTTTTTCAAGGCTTGATTGTGTTTATGGGGTGCAGTCTAACATGTGTTAATGCTTCGGTTAAAAAAAAAAAAAAAAGCATTATTTTTCACATAATTTACCTTTATTCCACACCACTCTGTCCCTTCTCTGAGAAACGGGCTGATCTTTTCCTGTTTTTTTTGAAGCCCTGCCCTCAGAAATAGGTCTGATTGGTTAGCTAGCCCAGTGTGTTGTGATTGGCTAAACCGCCTCTAGTGCGCGTCTAAATGTCCCGCCCCTCTCCTCAGCGGCATGTGCTCCGGTTGTATTGTAAACAACGGCGTCGTTAATATCGCTTATCAGTTTGAGCTCGATTGAGAAGCAGAGGATATTGAAGAGGATCGTGCAGAACCTGTGCAAGCACGGTTCTTAATGGTATGTTTTTTGCTTGTTGTTGTCTCATACTTTTAGCCAAACAGCAAAATTACACACTAACTAACGTTAAAAAAAGTGAAATCGCAATCAACCACCCCTTTAACATCCAAATTAACCTGACTCAGCATCTTTATTTTACGTCAAGCTGATTTTTATTTACTGCATTGGTCAGTTTGTTTAAATATATTATGGATAAAACACATCAATTTATAAACAAAATGTGTAAACAATTTTATTTTCGAAGGACAGAAATAAAGTGTCTGGTGTAGCTCATGTTTAAGAGGCTGAACTATTGCTGCAATGAAAGTTAATAGGCACCAATGTTTTCTGAATTTCTCCTTCTGTAATAAATTAAAATGGCTCATAACACAACATTAAGGTGAGAAAATTATGGTTTTCATGTATTCAAATAGATTAATAGCATCCTGAAGCTCAAAAAAAAGAGATGAAAGCAAAACAAGGCATCAATTAAGATATAAAACTAACAGAAATCCAGGGTAACTCCTTTCTGCTGTCTGTTGTTGGTGTTTCTTTGTTTGAATATGGCGCTTATCACATGCTGTGTGTTATCGGCGTTTGGTATCGGGGCATTTTAACGAGTACGAGTACAGGAGACCAGTATCGGGCCCGATACCGATACCAGTATCTGTGCATCCCTAATTTAAATATTTATCAACTTCTTAAATTATATGAACTTTTGTATTAATCAATACTAATACTACTAACTACTTACAATTTAATGAGCGCACATTAGATTGCACAAAATTAAATTGATATGTTGCTATATGACACAATTGACAAATTTCTATACTATACAAAACATAACTAATATTATTATTATTGCTATTATTTATATTATTTTATACAAATCAACAATGGTTATTACCAGATACCAAAAATCGAAATACTGCAAAATATATCTTATAAATATTGATTTATCACCTTCTTACAGTAATGACTGCTTAATTATGGTTTAATTATCAAAATGTACAAATTGAAAACATCTTATCGGTCCTAAAAACAGCGCTTCGTTTTATTTCTGCAAAAATATATGCACTATTTTTCCCCCCTTAATTTTGGTGACTTGGACATGTTTTTGTGAAATTCAATCTAGCGTGAAGAGACATGGTCATTAACTATCCTGATTTTTCATCCTGTGATGTGCATCTGAAGACGACACAAGTACAGATAGAGAGGAAACACCACTGTACTGTATCACAACACAAACCAAAACAACCGCAGCAGCAGTGGGGGGAAGCGTAGGCAGGTACATGACGGACGGTGACCACCTCGTAAATAAACCCTCCGAGCAAATATTAACATTTAACAACCACATCGGACATCAGCCACAACCTACAGCAACATAACATCAGCACCTCCCAAAACCAGATCAAATTACAGCATCCTACAGTAACCCAAACAACACGTTACATCACAGAGGAGTCCGTTAGCGCTAGGAAAAAGCTCAAAACAAGCGGAGCACCCGGCGTGAGAAGCAGACGGAGATAAACGCACACATACCCATCCTGAAAGGTAGAGAGAGGCCATTATAGCACAGTTCCAGGCTGTGGCTGTCAGTGCACACAAGACAGCAGAGGAAGATTTAAGAGCCTGAGAGTAGCTGCGGTATGGACAGCGCTGGCTCGCCCGCAGGGAGGCTGAGCGAGGGGTGCCACGCGGCCATGTTGGACAGGTAAGATCGTGAGGGAATCCCACCACACATGACACCAACCCTTCATGTGAGATCCTGAAGGAATTACGGCCTTATAAACATCCACATATAACTTTGAGGGAGTTTGCAGTGCAGTCCTTCCCACAAACAAATGACTCACTTCCTGTTTGAATGTCTTTCAGGGGTAGAGAAACCGCACACAAGCAACTAAACATAATAATAAAAAAAAAACTTTACATAATATCTATGATAATTCTGCACAAATATATACTGCAAAATGTTATTGACTATATACATACTTGCATCTCTCTCTCTCTCTCTCTCTCTCTCTACACACACACTGTATATTTTATAACTATGTACAAATAACAAATTTAATAAAATTACTAATTTCAGATAACTGCAGATTTTTTAATGGTTTTTAAATGGTTAAAACACAAACGTAGAAAAATATTGGTACTACTATAAAATCATTGCTATTGAAATTTATACAATTTTTTTTTTTTTTATTCAACTATATATTTAAAAATATATATGTGCACATGTATATACATATATATACATGCTACATTATATAAAACACACACATACACACATACACACATACATACAATTTATTAAAAAAAATAAAAATAAGAATAAATGTAAACATAAAATTGAAAATTCTATTTAAATAGAAATAGAAAAGTCTTATAAGAATTACATTTTCACACAAATAGTTGTATTATATTTATTACTATGTATTTGTATTGAAATTTAAATTAATAATTAAAAAAATATATATTAAAAAAACATTTATAAAAGCATTTAAGAAATGTTTAAACATAAAAAAATTTAAGCATTTTTAAAAATTGTTTTTATAAAATAAGTAATACAAATTTTCAATAACAAAACTATGTAAAAATGCATTAGTTCTTGCTTTCTGAATCTACTTGACAACAATGGCCGTTGTTTCAAGGTATATCTTTGCATACTTTGATTATTTTTGCACTAAAGTCTGGTATACCACTGCGCAAAACACCTTTATACCTAATTGATGAGTCAAACAAACAAAAGAGAGTCAATATGAACCCTATTTTGCACATTTATTCCAATAAATCATATGCAGTAAGTTAAAAAGGCTATAAGAACAGCTTATGCTCAGTTTCCTGCTCTAAAACACGCAAAACCAGCAAAAACACAAAACCGCCACTAGAAAGTGCAGAGAAAACCGGAAGTCTTCACACTTAGGAATTACTATCTCAGAGCTGTTTATTATGCTGAGGCTGAGAAAGTCAGAGCGCATTTAATTCGATGATTGCATCCTGCAAGCACACAGTCTGAAGGTCCGCTAAAAATACACACAATTCAGACAATATTGTTTTGAATCCAAATTCGCATGCATCCTTATCACTACAACTCAAAATTCCGTTTCCATAGAATTCCACAGAAAGAAGGATTAGGCTATCGCTCGGAGCAATCACACCTCACAGTCTGGCGAAACAGTGATCTCTAAATAACTTTCTCTACCACATAAAGGCCACTCGGCTCAGATGATATTACACCAGTCAACATGTGTCCGTTTCCTAGAAATCGGTTTGATTTTTCACAGAGGGCAAAGTGGAGAGCTGGAAGAGGCAAAAACATCACTGCCACCATACAAACAACACTAAACTCAAGTTACTAAACTTTTGTTTCAACATTAAACTTCCTTACGAATGTCTCTGAACTGAATAAAACAGCTACATTTTGTCTCATATACAGTGACAAGACACACAACCTTGATATTTTTAGAAAAATAATGCAAAACTAAATAAAAGCCAAATAAGAACAGACAATCTCAACATTATATTAAATCTCAATTTGCCTTTCTAGACTCACAAGTAGAGGTCGACCGATTTTGCCGATTAATCGGCACCGATAGTTGATTGCGGGAACTATCGGTTATCGGCAAAAATCCATGCCGATAGTTTTCCGGGTTGCGTCCATTGCTGGAGCCGCTGAGAAGGGTCTTCTAATAAAGTCTGTGTGCTTCATTTATAGAGCTATAATATAGATTGCGCATTCTCTTTCCGTTTGCTCCGTTTTTTAAACACCGAACTTCAAACTCATCCATGTCAAATTGTTCATTCTTGAAGTAAACTTATGTCCGTTTAGTGATTAAATAAACTGTTTTAGACCGCTGCTCAAGTTGAACGCATTAAGATGAATGAAAGCTGTGTAAGTATTGTTCCTTGTTAGAGTGTGTTAATTTCAACATTTACTATTACTATTATTATTATTACTACCACTAGTATGGTTCAGTACTGTTTTTGTTAATAAAGCACTATTTTAATTTTTGTTCAGTATCAATTTTAAAACTATCGGTTAATTAATCGGTATCGGCCAGTGTGGTCCAACCTAGCTATCGGTATCGGTAAAATCCACTATCGGTCGACCTCTACTCACAAGCACATCTGTATTCCCAGAACCCCCCATAAAGCCTCAATGACTGATCTCTGGATGGAGCCGAGCGCACCCTCGGACACACACGGCACACGGATAATGTGAGCCGGTTGGACCAGTTGGACATGCTTTCCACCGTTTCAAAGGCAGGATGTGCTTCCCTACAGGAGCCCCAGAAAACAGCAAAAATGTTCACTGACGCGCCCACCAGCAGACCAATCCATCAATCCGCAAAGTGCCACGCCATAATAATACATTCTGATTTGGATTTATTGCTACGACTGTACTATGCTAACTGCCCGTTTGCCAACAATCGCCTTCATGGGTTTAAAAACTCGCAAAATAGTTTGACAAGCATTGCGTTCTTTGCCACGCAGCCATATTTCCTACTGAAACTGACATATTGTTTCATTTTTTTAAAAAGCAGCCAATCATCTGCTACTTGTCAATGATAGTCTGACTTCAGGCAAAAACATTGTTTTGTTTTGTTTTTTTGCTTCCGGAACGTCCTTTCTTAACGTCTAGTGTAAAGAAACCATCCAAAATATTCCATCTCACACTTGAGTTTTTATATTTCAATTACAATACATATCTTTAAAAGTTGTTTTCTCAGTCAAAAATGTCCAATTCTGCAGAACTTACACCAAACTTTAAAGGTTTATTCCTATCTATATTCCAAATACTTTTACAGACATTTTTGTTCATATATCACTTGCTTTATTTAGGTCACATTTTATTTCTTAAAACATGGCGAAAATGTATTAATTTACTGGTTGTTGACAGCATTTTTCTGATTTATAGAGCGATTAAAAAGATATCAAAATCCCCCCTGTAACATCTGTCACCAAAATAAAGCAATTTTAACCTGGCCTTATGAAAAGGCATGCAAATTAGTGTTATGTTTTTAATTAGATGCATCATTTGCATACTTAAAATAACATTTCAGAAAATGTGTAATACAAACTAGTCCTAATGTACAGTGAATAATCAACTAGGGAATTATGGCTTATTAGTTTGCCATATTCTGCTGTTGTAACTCACCTTAAGTAGTATAAAAAGGGAGTGGCATTCTCATTCTTAAGAGGATTTGATTGGACAACAATTTGGACACGCCTATGAGTGCAACTTGAGTCATCGATATTTTTGCTCTTTTTTTCCTACCACAGAAACCTCACATTTTGATTGAACTCACTATTTCATGTCCATTCAATTGCATATGTATGCATATAGCCATATGCATTTAGTCAGGATAATATAAAAAATGTCTATAAATTAGATAACAAAATAAGCTGTCTGTGTTTATTTTGTGACAACGACCAACTGCCTCTGTGCATTATTCCTTACACCTATTAAATTTAATCATTTAGCAGGTGGTTTTACCCAAAGCGACTTAGAAATAAAGAACATCAAAAGCATTCGGTCATACATGAGCCAACAATATTTACAGCACTGCAATGCAAAGTTTCAAGCACAAGAGGATCTGTCCATAAACGTTTTTTTAAGAGTAATTACGAAATATATGTATATTTTCATGGATCTGTGAACACTACTGCCTCCATCTCTTCCCATCATACCTTGCTATGCACCCTTGACTACACAAAACTCCTCCAATGTGTTCATCACTCATGCATACTCACCCAAATGTGTTTAAAACCAATGCAAGCAGTTATTTACCTTCTGCAACATCTTCATCTATGGCTCCTTTGACCTGGGAGAAGCACCACTGGAAATCATTGCCTCCACCAACCCCTGCAACAACAACAACACAAGTGCATTGAAATGCATGCTCAGATCAGCCTCCCAGAAGCATTTCATCACGCGGGAGTCAGAGCCCTGCCAGCCCGAGCATGCATACTGAGATAGAGCAGTGGATGTGGGTTTGATTTAGTGTCAGTTAAGGGGGCTGGTTTGATGTTTAGGCCGCACTGTTGCCGCTCGCGCCCTACCAACACAAACCCCCGCGCGGCGCGTTTACCTGCCATCATCGCCTGTGCCTCGAGCCTTCAGTGCGGCTTATCCTGGAGCTTAGCTGGGCGGACGGTGCGAACGAGCGCGGAATGAGAGCAAGCGGAGGCGAGCGGGATCTGCCCGTGATTTGGTTTCGCTTCAAGATGGCGCACGCTGCCCGTCGACATGACACAGTGACGTCATTTAACCAAGCGCGCCGTGCGCCCGGCGCGTCGTCGCTGCGCTGAGGTTTGCGCAGACGCTGTGTGAGTTACGCAAAGACCAAACGCCCTTGTTTAGTTTGTTTATTGGTTGGATGGATGAATGGATGAGTGACAGGTAAACTGTTATACCGCTGCGAATGTAAAATACCTTCAATCTCTCTTGAGAACAGAATGTTTTAGTGAGTGTCATGTCTAGCTGCAGTTTGGTCAAATTATGCTAAAAGTGTGAAACATTATGTAATTGTGTGTACTTAGCATACATAAAATGCTATATTTGACATGACAAAGAAGAAGTGTCTATTCCTGTTACCGGCATTTCCTCCACAGCATGAAATATCATTTTGAAATGTGGTGAAAATGACATTTGTTCATGAAGGTTAAGAGATTGAAAAAGAGAGAAAACGGAAATACATATCATTAGACAATATTTCTAAAGTGTAAGTAACCTAATTATAAAAGACTATATATTATATATACATACACTAATAATTAAAGTGCCCCTATTATGGGTAATGAAAGGTTCATATTTTGGTTTTGGGAGTCCCCAACAACAGGTTGACATGCATGCAAGGTCAAAAAACACGTTCATTGTCTTATAATATGCATTTATATTTACCTTACTTGTTCAACGACTCCCAAACGATTCACTCAATGATTCATTTTTCCAAACCCCTCCTTTGCGAACAGTTCTATCTTTGATAGATGATAGATAGATAGATGTGTGTGTGTGTGTGTTTGTGTTTAATAAGTAGCTTACTTATTTTGTGTATTATATTGTAATATTGTAAATGTTAAACTTCAGTTATGTTTTAATCATAAATTGTTCTCATTCTTCATAAAATTCTCAGATCTCAGTAATGTAGAACGTTTACTGGCATTAACTACTGCTATTCTGTATTGTTGCACATGATAAAAAAAATTTAATGTATTTGTTGACTGGCAATTCAAATGACATACTGTCCATTTTTTCATTAAAACAAACCATCAGTATTTTAATGCATTTGATAGTTTACGTTCATATAGGCCTACAACTCAGTAAAGCTTTTCAATGAATTAAATGTTTGAAATTAATTTTAATTTTTAAATAAATCCTCAATAATCTGAAACTAAGCTCGCCCCTTTTAACCTCTTCTCTGAGTATGATGACAATATAATTCAGTAGTGTTTTATGGCTATTTCATACTAGTTTCGCCACATGGAGGAGCCACTATATTTGTGTGAGAATGAGGAGAAACGTGTTTCAAAACAGTGGATTTAGGGTTCCTTATAATGGTACAATATAACAATATCAGCAGTCTGTTCATTGTTCATAATTTGAGCAGGTTAACACATGAGCAAAAGCTTGCCCATTTACTCCCGTAATTAACTCTTAACTCTTAATAAAATCAACAAGTAGCCTAACTGTGTAAAGCCAATTTAGCATTCATATCAAATATCACCTTACTGTATCTAGTTTCTTTGAGGAAATCACATTGGGCTCTTCATTAAAGAACATAAATAAAGCATACAGAATAATATCAAATGAATAATTTATTTGTTTGTAAGACCCATGTGGATATGGCAGATGTCTGTAAATCAATGTTTTACAGAGAGCAGCGCAGGACAAAATTAGAGTGTATTTCAACAGAGACATCCTGCAAAGGGGAGTCATTACCCTGAACCATTATCCCAGCACCAAAACACATCGTTCCGCACTGCTAATGAGAAATAGAACAAGTGAGCAGTGATTTGAAGTACACATGAGCGCTTCTCTACCACCTAAGTAATGCATAATATGTAATTAATTCATTGATGATTTATTAATTAGATACTGGCCAGCAGTAATCTGCTCTGCTATTCCTGTGTGTAATTCAGAAGATTAGGCTTTGTTTATGTTTACATTAACGTTCCACAAAGCTGAGGGATCCTCATGAATATTAATGTATAAATAGTTTTTTTGTATATTTATTCCTCTGTCCACTTCATAAACACTGGGAATATGTATTCAAATGTTTTATTTTTCTGAATGCAACCAAACCTTTGCGCATGTATTATTTTAGGGCTTTTATTGGCCACATAGCTACATGCTGACAATCTATCTGCGATGACGTTTTCAGGTCTGAAAAGGTCCAGTGAGGTTGATTGCCACCCAAACCAATCACAAAATCCAATAAATAAGGTGATTGTGCATTAGCGCCCTACTGAGGGATTGATTACACCCTAATTTAGTAGGCCAAGATTATTTACTGTAATATAGAAAGCTTTAATGACCAGCAGATGGCAGTCTTTAAATATAAATGACTCTTTTTCTTTTTAATAGACTCTAACTCAAGCCAGCAGACTTTAAATGCAGCTACACACTCTTCATCACGTCCAGCACTGTGTAAACTGTAATGTGTATAATGCGTCTGGCCCGGCGGCCGTATAGGCATCAACAGTAATTTAAGGGTCTGAGTTGGCTTTCAGCGGCCTGATTTACTACAGTGTCTAACATATGCAGTGCTGCTTGTCTGCAGATAAGAGGCAGGCGGAGCATTTTGTTGTGGTTACTTAACATAGCTTATTGTTCACATCATCTGTGCAGCACAGGCAGAAATCTAATCAAGTCCTACAGAGTGATAAAAAATGACATAACACTGACATTTATTTCTGAAGATTGTTCCTGGCACTTCATATTCTTTGACAAACATCAAACGTGAGTGAAGCTGCTTTTCTAAATCTAAATAAGAAATATCAAATACATATAATAATAATAATAATAAAATTATTATGAATGTATATTATAATATATATGAGCATATTAGAATTTCTGAAGGATCATGTCACTGAAGACTGGAGTAATGATGCTGAAAATTCAGATTTGCATCACAGGAATAAATTACATTTTAAAGTGCCCCTATTATGGGTAATGAAAGGTTCATATTTTGGTTTTGGGAGTCCCAACAACAGGTTGACATGCATGCAAGGTCAAAAAACACTTTCATTGTCTTATAATATGCATTTATTTTTACCTTACTTGCTCAACGACTCCCAAACAATTCACTCAACGATTAATTTTTCCAAACCCATCCTTTGCGTGACGTTAATCTGCGGTGATTGGTCCGATTGCTCTCATTTTCATTTCATCTTGCCTGCAATGCCGTATAAAGCAGTGTTTGTGAGCACAGTGCTGCTTTGTGTACAGCGTTACCGGGGAAACCGTTATTTTTACGCTCCAAAAGCGGCGCCTAGTGGCAAAGAATGAATTTGCATTTTCATTCAGACCAACGTGAAAAGACTAACAAGTGGGCGGGCAATATGCTAATGTTTTATTTTGACGTCAACATGAAACGCTTGGGATTCGTTTTAAAAAGGACTGGTTTCAATGACTCAGAGTCAACTCTTTCTTTCGAGAGACAATAACTTTATACACGGTACACTTTCAGATTTAAAACTTTGCAGGATGTTTTCATTCACTTAGAGCTGTGTTACACACTGCATGAAAGGTAATTTTCAAAAATCCATAATAGGGGCACTTTAAAATATATTAAAATAGAAAACAGATATTTCAAATTGTGATAATATTTCACAATACTGGCATTTTTACTGGATTTGTGATCAAATAAATTTAGTCTTGGTGAGCATAAAAGTCGTCTTTCCAAAAATAAAATAAATCCCAGACTTTTAAATGATAGTGCGTATATTCACATTTTGCATATTTTTCTGGCTATGAAGTTCACTTTAATATTAATATTAATATTAATATTAGTCCCAATATTAATTAATTTAACTAGATTTTAAGCACATTTTAGTTACATTTGTACAGTAAACAATCTAAGTGTTGGGTAGTAAGGCCTATACAGTAGATGCCAGGAGAGAAATAGAAAATGGGAAATGCTATTATGTTATATAAGGGAGTGTTTCTATGTCCTCTAATGAAACAGACACTTTGAAAATGAAAGCCTTTGCCAATGATGTGGGGAGCAGCACAAGCTTTTAAGTGTAATAAACTAAATTCAATTAGTTCAGAAATCACACTGAATATGCCGGCCACTTAGAAAGAGGAAGAAAAACAGGCCTTCATCTCACTCACCTTAATTATTTAGCCTTTATTAGTTGACTACTGACATAATGTAAATTACACCACTTATACTGCTTGGAAGCTATTTCTCATAATTCTGAATGCACATTAGCTGGGACGCGTTTCTTTCAAATGTTCATAAAGTCTAGTTACTGCTGTCATTGGATCAGTATCTTTGAACATTATATCTGTTATTCATGTTATTCATAAAATCAGATGCTCAATCATAAGATTTAATTCTGTAAGTACCACAAATAATAAGATAGAAATAAAAAATATGAATTAGAGTCCTTGGTGACCCATGAGGCTTAGCTCACTTGTTTTAAGCCTATATGGACAGAGAAATATTATGGTTAGAGGACTTGTATTTAAGCCTGAAGCAACGGTTTGAAGATAAATATGTCCTAATGATGGATTTGTATATTACAAACAAGTAACGTTTCACATAACAAGATGTTAATTGATGGACTGGAGTGGTGTGGATTGCTTCTGGATTATTGTGATGTTTTTATCAGTTCTTTGGACTCTCATTCTGACGGCACCCATTCACTGCAGTGGATCCATTGGTGAGCAAGTGATTTAATGCAACATTTCTCCAAATCTGTTCTGATGAAGAAATAAACCACATCTTGGATGGCCTGGGGGTCATTAAATGTTCATTTTTGGGTGCACTGCTCCTTTTAGAATTTACAAAATGTCATCACAGCAAGTTTTGTCCATCAGAAGACAAGTATCATGTACTGCTGCAGCGATAAATGTGTTGCTCCTTCATTTTCTTCTCTCTCCGGTGACCGTCTCTTCTTTTATCTTCTACCCCTTTACTCTGATTTCATTAGTTCCATTGATATCCAGCCCTACTTTTCCATGTTCATGAACAATTAATAGCACTTTTTTCACTGAACTATTTATAAGCAGATCAAACTGAGTCATGGGAGTAATGAGAAC